AAAATTTTAAAAGGAAGGATGTATGTATGTATGTATGTATGTATGTATGTATGTATGTATGTATGTATGTATGTTCCAGCATAACTATGGAGCACCTCGAGCAATTTCAACCAAACTTGATAATCAGATACCCTCTGGAAACAAATACTGGGGGGAGGGGGGATTAAGACACCCCTGGGGTGTGTCTCTGTATGTGTGCCTGTGTTCCAGCATAACTGTGGAATGCCTGGGCCGTTCAGGAGAGTGAGTGCGGTGTCCTAAAGTGGCAATTGTTTATGATGTCAAGTAACATTATTTTTCAAATTTGCAATTTCACTACTGAAAATTTCTGCCTGTTGCAGCGCATTGCAAGATTTGAACTGACACCACAATAGCCTTCCTGAGATCCAGCCCAGTGATTTGAGAAATTTTTTTGTTTATTCAAACCCACAACAAGATCATCATGTGAACCACTGTATCCGTGTTTCCCCAAAAATAAGACCGGGTCTTATATTAATTTTTGTTTCGAAAGACGCATTTGGTCTTATTTTCTGGATAGGTCTTATTTTTGAGAAATAAGATACACGCCCATCCGACTGACAATCTTAACTGGAGCTTATTTTAGGGGTAGGACTTATATTACGAACATCCTGAAGAATCATGCTAGGGTTGGTATCAGCAACCTGTGGCTCTGGAGCCACATGTGGCTCTTTCGTCCCTCTGCTGCGGCTCCCTGTCAGGTGATCCTACCATGTTTCCCACAGAAAACACCAGGAGCCCCAAAACCTGGGTAGGCGTGACTGGGGTATGGGTGGGAGTGAGTGGTGTCGAGTTGGCCACACCCACCCAGGTTTTGTGGCTCCCGGTGTTTTCTTTTATGTGGGAAATGGGTCCAAATGGCTCTTTGAGTGTTTAAGACTGCAGACCTCTGTGCTAGGGTCTTATTTATTTATGAGCCATGGTGGCACAGTAGTTAAAAGTGTAGTACTGCAGGCTACTTCTGCTGATCACCGGCTGCCAGCAATTTGGCCGTTCGAATCTCACCAGGCTCAAAGTTGACTCAGCCTTCCATTCTTCCGAGGTGGGTCAAATGAGGACCCAGATTGTTGGGGGCAAGAGGATGACTCTGTAAACCGCATAGAGAGGGCTGTAAAAGCACTTCAGGCCTGCAATTATATTCCTTTTAGAATTTTGGCCTGCCACACTTTCTCTTAATTCATTATGCTGTTTCATCAGTATAGTTGATGGGAGGGGGGAATAGACAGGAGTAGGATTGTGGAATGTATTGTTTTCATTCTTTACTAGAAGCCAAG